AGCTCACTAGGGTGCTTCAGCAGAAGCGCGTCACGAACGGAGGCAAGGCGGTCAGGGAGGCTAGTGGCGATGAAATAGACAGTAATCGCCATGGGGGGAGGAAGCAGTGCAAGCTGTGCCTCAGTGCAAGCAGCGCGGTAACTAGCGTCGAGCGAGCGGAGGTGAGCGATCAAGTCAGCAGAGCGCTCAAACGAGGCAAGATCAGGAAACAGGAACGGGAGGAAAAGACGGCCGAGAGAGACAGTAGCGGGAGTAGAGTAGCGGGCCTTAATCGCAGTGAGGTACGCAGCAGCGGTGCGAACCTGAGTAAAGTGGACCTCCTCGGACTCAGGGAGGAGGCTGCTGAGTGCGATGCAGGCCGCAGCGTCACGCGACGTCCAAGCCGTCCGGTCAGCGCGCTGACGGGCAAAGCGAGCCGTAGCAGCGTCGTAGGATGTGGCGGCGGCTGCTGGTGAAGATGCGGCAGTTGCCGCTGTAGGATGTGGCGGCGGCTGCTGCTACAGTAGATGCGGCAGTTGTCGCTGCAGGAGGTGGCGGCGGCTGCTGCTGCAGAAGGTGCGGCAGCTGCTGCTGCAGGAGATGCTGCGGCGGCTGCTGCTGAAGATGCGGCAGCTGCTGCTGCAGTAGATGCTGCGGCGGCTGCTGCTGAAGATGCGGCAGCTGCTGCTGCAGTAGATGCTGCGGCGGCTGCTGATGAAGATGCGGCAGCTGCTGCTGCAGTAGATGCTGCGGCGGCTGCTGATGAAGATGCGGCAGCTGCTGCTGCAGGAGATGCTGCGGCGGCTGCTGCTGAAGATGCGAAAGGAGCCGCTGGAGAAGATGCAGCAGCTGCTGCTGTTGTAGATGCAGCGGCGGCTGCTGCTGAAGATGCGGCAGTTGCCGGTGAAGAGGGTGCAGTAGTTGCTGCTGCTCGAAATGCAGCGGCAGTTGCTGCAGAAGAAGCGGCAGTTGCTGCTGCTGAAAATGCAGCGGCGGCTGCTGCAGACAATGCGGCCGTTGATGCTGCAGGAAATGACGCGGCGGCCGCTGCAGAAGGTGTGGCTGCGGCTGCTGCTGGAGATGCAGCGGCGGCTGCTGCAGATGGCGCGGCGGCTGCTGCTACTGCAGCTGCAGTGGCGACCAGGCCGCAAACCGGCGGCAACAAGGCCGCGAATCGGCGGCGACGAGGCCGCGGCCGGGCGGCAGCGACGCCGCAAAAGGCGCGACAGAGTCACGACACGGCCGTGGAAAAAAAAAAGGGAGGGGGGGGGGGAGGCCGTGAGAGAGTCGCGCGGGGCCAACAAAGGGGCCGGGAAAAACGAAGAAAGAAACGGCCGCAACTGGCCGTCGAGGAGAAAGCGCCCGTGGCGCGACTAGGGGAAACGCAAAGCGCGCTCCGGGCAGAAAAAAAATTCTTAAACGTGGTGGGCCCTTCCTAGGAACCTTCCTGCTCTATACCATGTCAAGGTGAGAGAGGAATGATCGTCGACTAGTTTGGGGCATGGGGTACAAAAGTGACGAGAGAAAAGTTGTACCCCCTAAGAAACACCCCTACAAAACCTAAACCTAAATTATATAAATCATATAATTTGACAAGCGCGCTGACGGGCAAAGCGAGCCGTAGCAGCGTCGTCAGGAGCAGGGCCTAAAGCGGTAGGCTCGGGGGGCTCGGGGAGGTCACCAGTAGCGTGTGACCAGAGGGTCTCGCCCCCCTGGACCTGACTCTCTAACAGACGACGAGCGCAAAGAAGCCAGACGGAAAAGTCAAGGGGTCTACCATCAGCGTCGAAACGAAGAACTCGCGGAGTCGCCATAGTGAGAAGCAACGCGAACGAACAGGCGAGTAACAACCGGGGGGGAAGAGGACTCAGTCGCAGCGGAAGAGCGGGCTAGGGCGACGGGCCAAAACGTAGGGTAGGGCAACGGGCCAGGGCCTAGGGTAGGGCGACGGGCCAGAGCCTAGGGAGGGCGACGGGCCAGGGCCTAGGGAGGGCGACGGGCTAGGGCCTAGGGAGGGCGACGCGACGGGAGAAAGGGCGGGAGCGACGCGACGGGGCAGGGCGACGCGACAGGACAGGGCGACGCGACGGGGCAGGGCGGCGCGACGGAGCAGGGCGACGGGACAGGGCAGGGCGACGCGACGGGGTAGGGCGACGCGACGGGACAGGGCGACGGGACGGGACGGGACGGGACGGGACAGGGCGACGCGACGGGACAGGGCGACGCGACGGGACGGGACAGGGCGACGCGACGGGACAGGGCGACGGTACGGGACAGGGCGACGCGACGGGACAGGGCGACGGGACAGGGCAGGGCGACGCGACGGGACAGGGGGGGAACAGGCGGGCGCGACGCGACGGGGGGAACAGGCGCGACGCGACGGGGGGAACGGGCGCGACGCGACGGGGGGAACGGGCGCGACGCGACGGGGGGGAACGGGCGCGACGCGACGGGGGAGATGATGCTAGGCTCGGTACTAGGCGCGGTAACAACTAAACTGGTACGAACGAGAGGTAGGATCAGGCTCGGGAGGTACGAACGGAGAACGGAGGAACGGGATCCCACATGATCCTAACCTAGCTGATACCATGTCAGAATGAGGAATGGATGTTGCATTGATGTTGGTTGGGGTACATATGACAAACCCTAACTTCTGTACCCCCTAAGACAAACCTCACTACAGGCTACAACATTTGACACATCGGGTTTATATAAGAATACAGGGGAATATGAAAAGACCTAGGCTAGCCATATACTCTAAGGGGTTCATTGCTTTGTTACAGCAATTTCAAACCGTGCGATGCGGGAACCCGTTTTGAACTTGTTCCCGCTCTTTCCACTTCAAATGTTTCTGCCTGCATCGGTCTTGGTCAGGTGGTTGCCGTGACGCTTCAACTCTTCTGACTCCTCGACTTCGTACTCGGTAGAGTCGGCTCCTGCACCATACAGGAATGCCTTCTCATAAAACTTCTTATTGAGAAAGCTTGCTTTTTTATTATTGCAAGGCAACGTGCTTCATTTTAATTGGGTAATTGCAACATTCTCGTCCAACTTACACATTACATAAACATCAACTAGGGGTGGGCGGGGGGGGAAGCAGAACTGAAAAGTTGCGAAATGAAGACGTGGGTGGAGGCCAAATGGCCTCCAACCCTCGTTATGTACTCGGGAAGAGGCATTCGCAGTTGCCTTGCTTCACTACAGTCAGCTGCGCTTTCACAATCTTTATTTTTAGAAAGTGTTTCACACTTTCAAAAAATGTCATATCGTAACATTTGGGACTAGGTGATATATATAATTGGCAAATCGTTTTGCCGGAAACCACTGGATGCCCGTGGCGGTATGTGTAAGGAATTTTCCCTAATTCCTTTCTGAGGCATCTTATGCGCGTACAACTCCAACGTTTGGAGTTCAGCCTCGATCCGACGACCTTGCCTTCCGAACATCTCTTGCGTCGCCTTCGGGTTTCCCAACCCCAAACTTGCGCCCGACCTTGCGCGATCCCGCGGCCTCGGCCTAGCTAGCTTCTGCTATATTAGTGCTACGGCTCATTATTTCGACAGACGTTGTATTCACTTACTCGTTATTGCATTCTGCGCATTCGTCTCATTTACAACTCATAACAGTATGAGCCTTAGAATGAAGCAGAATGTTAAACGCAGGGGTAGTGTACATTTATCTTAAGTTTGAAGTTATGTGAATGATCGCTACGGGCTTTGAGGCGTGTGTAGTGACCAGCTCCCGATACAAAAGCAACTGGGCTGTATTCATTCAGCATCAACATTCGAAAATTAGCGCGAAAAGGTCGCGAGAGTGCGACCGAGAGGCGAGCATTCACGAATTGGTTACCAGGTACACTCTCTGTCCGCAAATGGCGCCGGAGATTCCACCCGCGCAGTCGGAGTACGAAGCTGCGCGGAAGCAGCAGATTCAGGAAAACCAGAAGCGAATGGCGGTGAGTCAGTCGCGCGCTCTTTGATTTTGGCCCACCACTCCGTACCGCGTGCGTCATGCACGTGCTCGCACATTTCGTTACACGTTGCCCTAAACCGCGAGGCGACGTGACGCACTCGTGGTCTCTCATGATGGTGCGTGTGAGGTCTTGAGTCTTGGAGAATGGCACCTCGTAAAAATGGCGCCTCGCGATGGCGCGTCACCCCTCCCTATCCCTCTCCCTCCCCCCTTCCCTTTCGTTTTGTCACAGCAGCAACTACAACTTGATTCCCTTCTCTTCATGATCGCATAATTCGATTGGATTGCCTCCCTCCTCCTCCCCTATCAGCGCCTCCTATTCCCTTTTCCCATCCAATCACCATGCTCTAATGCAGATGAATCACCCCATGTGACACCTTCCTTTCCCCCTACCATCTGATTTTTCCCATGCTCTCAGGATGCAACTTTCCCATACTGACATCTCCCTTTTCCCTGTCCATCTAGCCCGTCTCTTCTCTCATATGCCACTTCCCTGTCCCCTGCCACACCCCAAGTTCCATATCATCCTCTTCATGCCCTCAGGGCGGATTCCTGGCTTCGGGACATCCGGTGTTTGGGCCTTCCGAACATGTGGGATGACTCGAGGCATAATACTGCACCTCGTGTCAATGACCACATTTCCCACGCGATTTCGGAGGTCTGAGTTGACGAGAGCTACCACATCTCGTCACCCACGCCCTGCTGTTCATTGGTCACCTGTTGCTTGACCGAAATCGCGCGACTTCAAATCGCGCCTTCACGAACAGTGAGCCACCAATGTCGATTTGTGTGAGTCCAGAGTGTTCCACGTGCGTGCATTTAGCGAAGCTGTCTGACGTCAATTCTGTGGGAAAATTGAGTCAATTGACAGGCGACCCCAACTGGTCGCGCGTTCCCAACCCGAGTCATTGTAGGGGGTGAAAGTGATTTCGGTTACCCTTCGTTGGATGCACTTGCGATGCGACCACCGTGGGTTCCCGAATCGGGAAACCCAAAGTCGAATCGGAAGTCGGTTCGGAAAAAAAATATTTGGAAGTTTCGAAGTGCGGATGTGCGGAAGCCAGGAATCTGCCCTCACTGTCGGACCGGACTGCCCCTCTCTCATTCTCCCATATGGACACCTTGGCTTTCCTCCCTGTCCATCCATCCCACCAGGTAGGTACCTTTCCATCCTCCCCATGATCAACACATGCCAGGCACAGACACTCTACTTCCAGCTATACCCTGCTCTGCTGCTGCTCTGCAGCTAACAGTTTGTCCCTTTACCAATCTAGTTTTCCCTCCCAGTTCCGAGTCTTTTTTTTTGTTGACACCTGCCAGGCGCAAACCCTCGTTTCCAAGGTATGCCCTGCGGCAATGCTGCTCTGCTCTGCAGCTAACATGATGTCTCTTTTCCAATCAAGTTCCCTCTCCCTCTTTCTCGTGGCCGACACATGCCTGGCTCCGAGGGATGAAATGAATGATCTTCGTGCTGCTGACAGTGTTTTCCCTCTCCCTTGTTCGAGTTTTTTCATCTCTTTTTTTTATCAACACCTGCCATGGTGAAACCCCCTCTTCCAAGGTAGGCCCTGCCCTGCCCTGCCCTGCCCTGCCCTGCCCTGCCCTGCCCTGCTCTGCTGCTGTCAATGCGTTTCTGGCTCTTTCTCTGGTCAACACCTGCCATGTTGAAACCCTGCCCTGCACTTCTGCTGCCCTCTCTCTTCCCTCTTTCTTAGGCCCCACCCTGCCCTGCCCTGCTGCTGTCAATGCGTTTCTGGCCCCAAATGTTTCTCTTACCGTCTTCCCAGTTCTCTCATGTTGTCCCATTATCGACACCTGTCACGCATCACTCTATCGTAGGCCCTGCTCACATGGCTGCTTGACTCTTGACTGACTTAGGTGCTGGACCTACATTTGTACACTTCCCTCTTTCAAGGCGTAACACTGTAATGTTTGGCTTTTGATCTTCAATGTGTGGCACATGCTGGGATTGCACTCTTGCTGTCATGCATGGATGCATGCATGTATGGGTGGTTGAGTGGACGGACGGACAGACGGACAGACGGACGGACGGACGGACGGACGGACAGACGGACAGACGGACGGACGGACGGACGCACGGATGGACGGACGGATGGAAGGATGGACGGATGGGCATGTGCCGTTTCCTTCCACCACATAACCCCCTTTGTGCAGATCTACTTCCCCCCTTGCTCTCCGTCTATAAATGTGTAACTTCTGGAAGTTTCAAAAGTGACCCCCCTGGCACGGTCTCTGTACCAGCAGTGCAAAAAAAAAAAAAAAAAAAAAACAGCATTGCTCTTGGCCTTTCACCCTTTGCCCCCTCCCTTTACCCCTTCCCACTGTGTAACCCGCTCACTGCAGATCTACTCCCCTAGCATCGTCTCTGTCGCCAGCAGTGCCAATCGAAACACACCCTGTGACTCCACCCTCTGTGCATATCTACTCGCCCGGCATTGTCTCTGTTGCCAGCAGTGCCAAGGGCGAGATGTTCTACTCTTACCTGCCTGACCTCGATGTGAGAAAATGGCTGCCGTTGATGTAAGCACGTCTGTACAAGCACATCCTGAAAGAAGCACATTTTGCTGTGGTCACAAGTGCTGTGAGATGTCTTATTCGTACCTGCCTGACCTTGATGTGAGAAAATAGCTGCTATTGATGTAAGCACACGTCTGTGGTCACAAATGCTGTGAGATGACCTACCTACTCCTACTTTCCTGACCTAGATGTGAGCACATGCCTTACAAGCATATTCTGAGATAAGCACCACAATCGGCTGTCTTCACATGCTGTCCGCCCCCACTCCCCTCGTCCCTTGTCTCTCTCACCGCACACACTGCACTGTCTCTCTCACCGCACACACTGCACTGTCTCTCTCACCCGCACACACTGCACTGTCTCTCTCACCGCACACACTGCACTGTCTCTCTCACCACACACACTGCACTGTCTCTCTCACCCGCACACACTGCACTGTCTCTCTCACCGCACACACTGCACTGTCTCTCTCACCACACACACTGCACTGTCTCTCTCACCGCACACACTGCACTGTCTCTCTCACCGCACACACTGCACTGTCTCTCTCACCACACACACTGCACTGTCTCTCTCACCGCACACACTGCACTGTCTCTCTCACCGCACACACTGCACTGTCTCTCTCACCGCACACACTGCACTGTCTCTCTCACCACACACACTGCACTGTCTCTCTCACCGCACACACTGCACTGTCTCTCTCACCGCACACACTGCACTGTCTCTCTCACCCGCACACACTGCACTGTCTCTCTCACCGCACACACTGCACTGTCTCTCTCACCACACACACTGCACTGTCTCTCTCACCCGCACACACTGCACTGTCTCTCTCACCGCACACACTGCACTGTCTCTCTCACCACACACACTGCACTGTCTCTCTCACCGCACACACTGCACTGTCTCTCTCACCGCACACACTGCACTGTCTCTCTCACCACACACACTGCACTGTCTCTCTCACCGCACACACTGCACTGTCTCTCTCACCGCACACACTGCACTGTCTCTCTCACCGCACACACTGCACTGTCTCTCTCACCCGCACACACTGCACTGTCTCTCTCACCGCACACACTGCACTGTCTCTCTCACCACACACACTGCACTGTCTCTCTCACCCGCAAACACTGCACTGTCTCTCTCACCGCACACACTGCACTGTCTCTCTCACCACACACACTGCACTGTCTCTCTCACCGCACACACTGCACTGTCTCTCTCACCGCACACACTGCACTGTCTCTCTCACCACACACACTGCACTGTCTCTCTCACCGCACACACTGCACTGTCTCTCTCACCGCACACACTGCACTGTCTCTCTCACCGCACACACTGCACTGTCTCTCTCACCACACACACTGCACTGTCTCTCTCACCGCACACACTGCACTGTCTCTCTCACCGCACACACTGCACTGTCTCTCTCACCCGCACACACTGCACTGTCTCTCTCACCGCACACACTGCACTGTCTCTCTCACCACACACACTGCACTGTCTCTCTCACCCGCACACACTGCACTGTCTCTCTCACCGCACACACTGCACTGTCTCTCTCACCACACACACTGCACTGTCTCTCTCACCGCACACACTGCACTGTCTCTCTCACCGCACACACTGCACTGTCTCTCTCACCACACACACTGCACTGTCTCTCTCACCGCACACACTGCACTGTCTCTCTCACCGCACACACTGCACTGTCTCTCTCACCGCACACACTGCACTGTCTCTCTCACCACACACACTGCACTGTCTCTCTCACCGCACACACTGCACTGTCTCTCTCACCGCACACACTGCACTGTCTCTCTCACCACACACACTGCACTGTCTCTCTCACCGCACACACTGCACTGTCTCTCTCACCGCACACACTGCACTGTCTCTCTCACCGCACACACTGCACTGTCTCTCTCACCCGCACACACTGCACTGTCTCTCTCACCGCACACACTGCACTGTCTCTCTCACCACACACACTGCACTGTCTCTCTCACCCGCACACACTGCACTGTCTCTCTCACCGCACACACTGCACTGTCTCTCTCACCACACACACTGCACTGTCTCTCTCACCGCACACACTGCACTGTCTCTCTCACCGCACACACTGCACTGTCTCTCTCACCACACACACTGCACTGTCTCTCTCACCGCACACACTGCACTGTCTCTCTCACCACACACACTGCACTGTCTCTCTCACCCGCACACACTGCACTGTCTCTCTCACCGCACACACTGCACTGTCTCTCTCACCACACACACTGCACTGTCTCTCTCACCGCACACACTGCACTGTCTCTCTCACCGCACACACTGCACTGTCTCTCTCACCGCACACACTGCACTGTCTCTCTCACCACACACACTGCACTGTCTCTCTCACCGCACACACTGCACTGTCTCTCTCACCGCACACACTGCACTGTCTCTCTCACCGCACACACTGCACTGTCTCTCTCACCACACACACTGCACTGTCTCTCTCACCCGCACACACTGCACTGTCTCTCTCACCGCACACACTGCACTGTCTCTCTCACCACACACACTGCACTGTCTCTCTCACCGCACACACTGCACTGTCTCTCTCACCGCACACACTGCACTGTCTCTCTCACCACACACACTGCACTGTCTCTCTCACCGCACACACTGCACTGTCTCTCTCACCGCACACACTGCACTGTCTCTCTCACCGCACACACTGCACTGTCTCTCTCACCACACACACTGCACTGTCTCTCTCACCACACACACTGCACTGTCTCTCTCACCGCACACACTGCACTGTCTCTCTCACCACACACACTGCACTGTCTCTCACCACACACACTGCACTGTCTCTCTCACCACACACACTGCACTGTCTCTCTCACCACACACACTGCACTGTCTCTCTCACCACACACACTGCACTGTCTCTCTCACCGCACACACTGCACTGTCTCTCTCACCGCACACACTGCACTGTCTCTCTTTCGCCTCGTGCTCCTCTCTTCTCGTCCCTCTCTGCTGTGTTCAACTGAACTTTATATTAGCTAATCTCTTCCACGTACAAGCATATCTCCTCTTGTGTTCTGCTGGGAGTGACAGTGGTTAATCTTGTCACCTTCCACACGCAGACCTTTCCCCCAATCTTCTCATCCCTCTCCTAGTTGCATGCAGTTGGGAGTCACAGTGGTGGATCTCTTCACATACCACACGCTGCACTTTCTGCATCAAATCAACGTTCGCTCAAACACCTCCCCTTGCCAGGTAATGCCCCCCTCGCCAGGTAATGCCTCCCCAGGTAGTTTTGTTTTCTTTCCATAAAAAGGCATGCTCAAAGCAATGTTAATGTTGCAAGTAATGTTCTCGTGCTTGCTCTTCCTCGTTGCCACCCCAACCCATGAATGTGCGTCCGTGCACAAGCCAGCCCACACCCATGTGTGTGCACCCCTGCACCCATGTGTGTGCACCCCTGCACCCATGTGTGTGCACCCCTGCAGCCATGCCATATATGTGCCTTATGTTCCACAACTTTCAACTCAACGTCACTCTAGTTGAGCTCCATAATCTTCCCTTTCACGTGTCTCTTATCATCTTCATGCCATGCCACACCATGCCACGTCATGCCTGTGTAGTCTCTTTGAGTCGTACGATCCACGGTTCCTCATGTCCACTCCGGGCTATCGCAGTGTCAACTCCCCCGCGCCTCTGCACCAGGTGACGCTCGCACTACCATGCCATGCCATGCTGTGCTGTGCCATGCCCTGCCATGCTGTGCCCGCACCAGATGATGCCCGCACCAGATGATGCCCGCACCAGATGATGCCCGCACCAGATGATGCCCGCACCAGATGATTCCCACACCAGATGATTCCCGCTCCAGATGATTCCCGCTCCAGATGATTCCCGCTCCAGATGATGCCCACACTGCCGTGCCCATGCCATGTCATATGCTACCAACTCACTTGCTCGTGCCGGCCAAATTCCACCCACTGCTTACACATTCTTCGTACTGCATTGTACCTCAATCCACCTTCCGGCCATTCGTTTGGCCTTTCCCCTTCTGCTCTCTGCCCTCTCTTCCCTCTCTCCCTTCTCTCCCCTCTCTTCCCTCTCTCCCTTCTCTCCCCTCTCTCCCCTCTCTCTCTCCTCCCTAAATCCCTCCTCCCTCACCCAACAGGTGTCAGTACTATGTCGCCTCAGTCATGCCTGTCCAGATAACACCTATCCCGTACCCCCTCTCTCCTCTCCACTACCTGCTCCCTCACGCAACAGGTGTCAGTACTATGTCGCATCAGTCATGCCTGTCTAGATAACACCTGCCCCATACCGTACCCTCTCTCTTCCACCGACATACCCCTGTCTGAAGCGAGAATGGAAAAGGGAAAAACCGTTGTAGCAGAGAGAGGAGGTGATGGAGGGAATGGTGTGCGAGAGGAGGCAGGTGCGGGCGAGGAAGGTGGGAGCGAAGAAGCAAGGCGTGGGAAAGGCGAGATGGAAAAGGACTGGACAATGCTGTCATGTGGTTTGGCGATGGTATGCCTAAAGCGGTGTTTGTGAATCGGTCCCAGGAAAGCATATCTCCTCGCTTTGTCAGCAGCACTCGTGGTGTCTCACGATGGTGCGCGTATCACATGATGGCCATGATACAAGCATGGTGCGCGTATCACATGATGGCCATGATACAAGCATGGTGCGCGTATCACATGATGGCCATGATACAAGCATGGTGCGCGTATCACATGATGGCCATGATGCAAGCATGGTGCGCGTATCACATGATGACCATGATACAAGCATGGTGCGCGTATCACTTGATGGCCATGATACAAGCATGGTGCGCGTATCACATGATAGCCATGATACAAGCATGGTGCACGTATCACATGATGGCCATGATACAAGCATGGTGCGCGTATCACATGATGGCCATGATACAAGCATGGTGCGCGTATCACATGATGGCCATGATACAAGCATGGTGCGCGTATCACATGATGGCCATGATACAAGCATGGTGCGGGTATCACTTGATGGCCATGATACAAGCATGGTGCGTGTATCACTTACAAGCTTGAGGCTTTTGAGTAGGGCACATCATGCTACCACATTTTGTATGAAGAAGTGTTTTGAGACGTCTCGAAACACTTCATAATACTTTTGAGTCGGGCGCATCGTGCTGCCCGACCACATTGACGCGACTAGGAAAAACGGTGCCTCACGATGGCGCGACACATGCACACTCAACATCAGCACACCTATCACACACTACAGGACGCATCAGAGAGCCCGTTGTAATGCCCACGTGGAGAGCAACGCGGGTCGGGCTTTGCTTCTGCTTCTCCCTTGCCACTAGATCTCGCGCTTTCCCCTTTCCCCTCTCGCCTTTGCCGTACTGAAAGCCTCGAGCGACCATGCCACAAGGCCATGCCACAAGGCCATGCCACAAGGCCATGCCACAAGGCCATGCCACAAGGCCATGCCACAAGGCCATGCCACAAGGCCATGCCACAAGGCCATGCCACAAGGCCATGCCACAAGGCCATGCCACAAGGCCTTTAGGATACTTGCTGCTTCCTTCTCTCTCACGTCCTCCTTCCCCACCCCTCTTGTCCCTCCCACTTCTCTCGTCCCTCCCACTGCAAAGTCCCTCCCACTCCTCCCAGTTTGTTATCGTTGTATAATTTTCTTCTTTCCACCTAAGCATGTCTGGATGGTGTAGTCGGTTATCACGCCAGTCTCACACACTGGAGGTCTCCGGTTCGATTCCGGGTTCAGACAACATTTATGTCTCCTACACTCTTGTGCACATTCCGCCTACCAGTCTCACTTGACCTGCACCATGTTATTAATCCTTTTCCAGTCAATCCTTCCCCCACGCATTCCCTTATCCCTCTTCCCTCCCCCTCCCCCTTCTTTCTGGCACAGCAGCAGCTACACTTTGATCCCCCTCATGATTGCATAATGCGATTGGATTGCCCCCTTTCTTCTCCGATGTGACACCTCCTGTTCCCTTGTCCCACCCAGGCACCTTGCTCTAGAGCAACTGAATCGCCCTGTCCTCCCCCGTGTGACACCTTCCTTACCCCTTGCCATTCGTTTTCCTCAGGCACTTGTAATGCAACTCTCACCTAGCAACTCCTCCCTTTCTCCTGTCCCATCCCACCAGGCACCATTCCATCCTCCTCATGAATCTAATTTTGAGGCGCCGCAAAAATAGAAAGCATTGCTCTCGCAAGGCACCTCTCCCCTATGGACACCGCCATTTCCCCTGTCCCATCCCACCAGGTACCACTCCATCCTCCTCATGATTGACGACACCTGCCAGGCGCTAACGAGGTATGCCGTTCTCTCTTCCTCTGCTCCCATAATGCAAGTGAAACGCCCCATACCCTTTCCTGGAATACCTCCCTGTCCCCTGTGCCATCTCACCACAGGTACCACTCCATCCTCCTCATGACCGACATATGCCAGGCGCAAGCTCCTCACCTCCGAGGTATTCCCTTCACTGCTACCTGTTTGCTTTACCTTCTGACTCTGCAGCTCTTGACCCACCTGTTTCTCTCTCTCCCTCTCTCCACCCTCCTTGTGATCCACACATGCCAGGCGCAAACCCCTTACTCCAAGGTATGCCGTGCTCTGATGCTGCCCTGCATCTAACAGCATGTCACTTTACTAATCTGGTTCTCTCTCCCTCTTTTGAGTCTTCCCATGATGGACACCTGCTAGGTGCAAACTCTCTTTTCCGAGGACCCCTGCCTCAAACTCTTCCCCGCTGCCTTGACAGAGATAGTCCACAACAAACCCTGCCTCACCCTGTCTCCTGGCAGGTAAAGCTGGTGTCGCTGGCGGGGGAGAGCGAGTATGCATCATCGCTTGCATCAGGGCGGGTGACAGCGATAGTGGGCAAGGACCCCTACCTTTGAGACGTCTCAAAAGTCAGGAAGGGTGACAGCGATAGTGGGCAAGGACCCCTACCCTTGAGACGTCTCAAAAGTCAGGAAGGGTGACAGCGATAGTGGTCAAGGACCCCTACCCTACCTCAACCTCTTATCCGCTTCCTTCTGTGACGGCGTTCAGGCGGCGCAATTCTTCCCTACGGTGCAATGTAGGCGAGAATTCTGAAGAATCATTCAGGCGGCGCAACCCTTCCCCATCCTCAACCCCACGTTTGTAGGTTCTCTGTGGTGCACTGTAGGTCTGTGCACTGTAGGTCTGTGCACTGTGGTCGCATGTGTGCAAGCTGGGAGTCTGTGCACGGCCGCACGCATGTGCATGTGCATTTGCGTGTGTGTGTGTCTACACGTGCATGTGCATTTGCGTGTGTGTGTGTCTACATGTGCATGTGCATTTGCGTGTGTGTGTGTCTACACGTGCATGTCATGCATCTCCCATCCACATGCACAAGGAAACGTTTTCTCTTGCCTGTCGCGACCGGCACCACGTGCCTATTTCATTCATCGCCATGCTAAACTGGGTTGCATTCTCCCCTTCCTCCCTTCGCTTTCCTGCCTCCTCTCCCTCCTGTCCTCTCCCCTCGCAGCGCAAGGGGGATGTCCCTAATGTTTTGATCCCCTCAATCTGCGCTGTTTGTCTCCAGCTCCGCGAGCGGTTCCAGTCGGACTTTCCTGTCCTGCGTCTGCTCTCTGACAGAGGTGGTGAGTTCTCCTCAGACCTCTTGGCAGCTTTCTGTGCAGAGCACGGCATCCGCCAGACGTTCACGCTTGAGGCCTCTCCGCAGCAGAATGGGGTTGCTGAGCGCCGCATTGGCTTAGTCATGGAGGTCGCTCGTACCTCCATGATCCATGCGGCTGCCCCCCATTTTCTGTGGCCGTTTGCGGTCCGGTACGCCGCGCAACAGCTCAACCTCTGGCCCCGTGTCTCCTTGCCGGAGACCTCGCCCACAATGCTGTGGACGGGGAAGGTTGGCGATGCGTCGCGTTTCCGGGTCTGGGGTGCTCGTGCCTTTGTCCGCGATACCACCGCGGACAAGCTCTTGTGCTGTTCCCTGTGTCTTCCTTGGCTTTGTCCCTGACGCGCCTGGTTGGCAGTTTTACCACCCCACCTCGCGCCGTGTCTTCCCCTCTCAGGACGTCACGTTCGACTAGTCAGTTCCCTTTTACCATCTCTCCCCCTACCTGCATTCTCCCCTTCCTCCCTTCGCTTTCCTGCCTCCTCTCCCTCCTCCCCGCACCACTCTTTCCTTCTCTCACCACCGTTGACCCCTAAATCATACCCTCTTTCCTCACCCCCACTCCCCACCCTGCAACCCTTGCCCTTCCCTCCCTTCCATCGTCAACCCATGCCTTCCCCAAGGGGTCACAGGTAGGCGCAGGCGTCTCTCATTTTTTACCCCCCTCTCCCCTTTCCCCTGTGCCCCATCCCTCTCACAACCACCTCCCCCCCCCCCCCCCCCCCCCCCCCCCCCCCCCCCCCCCCCCTTTTCAAGCATTCCATGAGGGGTCACAGGGCGGGCCGGACATCTCCCAGGCTATCCTCGAGCTGCAGATGTTTCCAGAAATCAAAGCGTCTCAACACTCCCCCCTTCTCCTCTCACCATCGTCACCCCCCAGGCATTCCCCAAGGGGTCACAATGGGGAGCGGACAGCGGACATCTCTCTGACCATCCTCGTCTTCAGATGCAGGGGGAGCTGGAGCGTGTCAAGGATCAGTACTTGCTTGCAGGTGGATGCGTGAGAGAAGCACCTATGAGGATTTGCTCTTTCAGACAGGTGCAGAGGTGACTGCACAAGTGATTTCTCTTAAAGAAGGGGAGCTGGAGTGGCTCAAGGTGCAATACATGTAGGCGGGTGTGAAAATCGCCAGAGTGGGTATGATTTCGTTCTTATTTGATTGTTTGTTTGTTTGTTTTTCTTTCTTTCTTTCTTTCTTTCTTTCTTTCTTATTTTCTTTTCTTTTCTTTTCCTTTCTTTTCTAGTATTTTCTTTTCTTTTTCATGAATGTAAAAAGTCCTTGAGGGGCTCAAGGGGAGGTACTTTCTGGTTGGTGAGGGAGTCAAACACGAGGTTTTGCAGATTCAGCACCAACTCGGCGAGTCATTGTTGACGGAGGTCAACAATCACAGGTCTTCAGTGCTGCTCATCCTCTCCCCCCACCCCTCAACCTCACCTCGTTCAGAAGGACATGTGCGGTGAGGACCAGACCAGCTCATCAGTATTGACACAGGTCAACGTGGAGAAGTTCACGGCGCTACGCATCCTATACCCTGTCCACCCCACCGTTCTTTCAAGAGGACAGCATGTCCGTCTATGACCAAACCAGCTCAGCAGTATTGTCGGAGGTGAACGTGCACAAGTTCTCGCCTCTTCTCATCCTCTACCTTGTCGTCTAACTGCTCTGCTACATCGCGTATGTTGGCTTGCTCATCTACTGCGGTTACCGCTTTTTGAGGCGCCTCAAATTCTCCTCATAAATCTTTTTGAGGCGCTTCAAAAGTGGGCTGACTTGTCTACTGCGGTTACCAATACCACCGTGCGACCTTCCCCACTATGGTGGTTACCACAGACTCTTGCAAGGCATGCCAACTATGTGCACCATGGTTACAGTTCCGTTACAATAGTCCCATTTGTACGCCCTAAAAGTCCTCATTGTACACCCTATAAGTCCTCTTTGTACACCCTATCAGCAGGGCCTCAGATTCGTTTTGGCCTAGGCTGAATCGTCAGCCTTGGGAGTGGGATGAAGGCTGATCAATCAGGGTAGCCTTGAAAAAAAAAGCTGAAATTTCAGTGCTTAGTTTCAAAAATTGGCTGATCATTCAGCCTTGCTTAAAAACAAAGGCTGAACACAACTTCAAGCTTTCCTATAGCGCAACACGCGACGTGCTGCCAACAGTGCACACGACGTGCCTACACAACTTCACACACGAAAATACAGTACCTTCTATTGGCAACAACATGGGCGAATCCGAGCTAATTTCCAGTGATTGGGCGAATTTCTGGAAGAACGTGTTGTGTCAGAGCAAAAATTCTTGTGATTGGGCGAAATTGTTGTGGCTCTGACGGGGCGAATCTGTTCTGTAGGGGCAAATTTGCTGTCTCGGGGCGAATCTGTAGTGACGAGTCAAGCTGAAAGACTTGGTGCCATCTGATTGGCCAGGCAGGTTTTTGATTCTCGGCACTACACGAATCTCCACTAGTGGGATTTCAGCCCACACACCCGTTACAACGCTGATCAGTCAGTGTACACCTCTAAAAAAACTCTGAAATTTCAGACCATACAAAGAAAAAAATGCTGAAAAATCAGCCGGTACAATGAAAAAAAAAGCTGACAAATCAGCCCCACTTTCTTCCCAGCACTGAAATCTCAGCCTTTTTACCCCTAATCAGCCTTTTTTCGCTGACTTCTGAGGCCCTGCCTATCAGTACTCTTTGTACACGTTTTAAGTCTTCTTTGTACACCCAATAGGCCCCCTTTGTACACCCTTTAAGTCCTCTTTGTACACCTTATAGGTCATCTTGTGCACACTATAATTCCTCTTTGTGCACCTTATAAATCCTCTTTGTGCACTATATAAGTCATCTTTGTACACCCAATAAATCCTCTTTCTACGTCGAAAAAACCCGAAACCTTAAGCCTTGGTAATACCTTGGTGTAGACACAGAGTGATAGAGGTCATAATACAAACCCTAAGAATCCCTAAGAACCTAATCTCATCTCTTAAATGGCATCGATGAATTCTTAAAAGTGCACCCGTCCCTAGCTCACCGGGCCTAGCTTACCCTCTTAGCGTCCTGGCGCGCTTTGTTGCGCCTGGGAGACACCGACCTTCTCTAGGTACGCGGCTAAGAGGGTGGCGAAGTATGTGGCGAATATATCGGGCATATGACTTGTCCTTGGAGGGAAGCAGCCAGTTACACTCACATGTTTCTCGGACTTGTCGTGGGCCGACGACGCTGAGTCCCTGCGGTCTACACCTGATAAATGCTTCAACCTTGAAACCGGAGCTGTTTCGTGGAGGTCGACCCGGGCTTTGTCCGTCTCCACTTCCAGCTATGAGGCAGAGGTATACGCTGCGGCCATGGCCTCCTAGGAGCTTCGTTGGCTGCCTTTCCTCCTCACAGATCTTGGTGAGCGGCCTCGCTCTCCCCCTGTCTTGTTCGCCGACAACAGTCTGCTGTCCTATTTGTCAGAATCTAGTGAGTAGGTATGAACGCATTAGGCAGAAAGTTGGTACAAGTATAACCCTAATTGGGTTGTACCCCATATAGGCTACCCCACTACAACCTACACAACACACACAACATAATAGTTTGACACACCCCCATAAGCAAAGTGGGGGAGAACAAGGGGTTACAAGACTAGTCAAGGAAAGTAAAGCAAGCTCAGGGTGGATCACGAAGTCACCACACGCCCTGAGCACAAGCAAATGGCCATAAGGCCAGTTCACATGCAAAGTTGTATAAATGGGAACAAGCGTTATTGTGATCACAACCTAACAAGTGTAAGCATGCAGGCACAAGTATATAGATCACAGTACAAGCAAAGTCACGAAGTGAGCAAGTGAGGGAAAGTAGGCACAAGGCCTGACACAGTACACAAACGCTGATGATCACGAGGCTAAAGTGCCTTGGTGAATATATCAGCAGTGTTGGCCCGAGTGGCCATGTAAACAAGACGAAGTTGACCACGCTGCTGCAACTTTTGAGGAAGGAAGTAATGCAGATCGATGTGCTTCGTCCTGTGCTCTAGTCTGTGCTCCATTCTGTGCTCCTCACACAAGGCAATCATGACCTTGTTGTCTACGTACAGAACGGGAGGAGAACTAGGCCGCTCTCCCAAGTCGGTCAGTAGGTAGGTGAGCCAGCGTAACACCTGTGCAGCCATGACACCTGCGTAGATCTCAGCCTCAGAACTGGAACTGAGAACAGAAGACGAGCAGGTAGACTGCCAAGAAACAGAACCG